CATTGTCAGGGCCTCTTGTCTACAGAAAGACATCTATCTACTCCGTAAGCCTCTGATGTAACCGCCCCGCCCCCCCCCCCCGGTCCAAAAATAAAACATACACGCGTCCCGGAATTCCCACCCCAGAAGTCTCCGCAACTCATATTGCTGCTGCTGCTGCTATTCGCTAGCACTTACTAAGGTACATACCAGGAAATGGAGCCAGGGTCCAGCACTGCAGCGATTGACTGGCAAGTTGCAATGAGATGAGATACTGGGTTAGCATGGGGATGAGTAAGCTAAGTGTATACGTCAGCCAGCTCATTCCTGCGGTACTCCATCGCTTGCAGAGGGTATCTACCTGTGACTACTTCTGCTCCATTTCATCATTCTGCGGTAGTACCAATTGTCTGCTGGTACCTCTCAGAGCGGGAGGTTAATTAGATTGTGACACAGGCACCGCACAAACATATGAAGACTGGATGGAGATTTGCTATGCCTTAGTGTGCTGTCGGATGATGTCATGTGCGGGAGAGGGTTTCGAGGGTTCAGATGCGGTACTCGCCGCTCGCCAGCCTTTGCTAACTACTCCGTAGGTCAGTTGCCAAAGGTACCTATTTAGCTAGGAGAAGTAGGTGTGGTCTTGGCATCGGTTGTTATGCGTTTGTCGTTACTTGAAAATAAAGAGTGTCTGTACAAGAGTAGCCGTCGCGCGAACTCTCCCCGGATTCTACCAGATGAGGGTACGACTGTAGACTGAAAAGACAACGGCTTAAACAATATCATTGATTTGCTCGCTATAACCTCCAGTATAAGTAGATGAAAGCAATACGCGCCAGTTCCTCCATCAACACCATCCGCGACAAGACAGGCCCAGAATGTCATAATATAGAACGGGATCGACGAGGGAAGGAGGTCAAAATACATAAAGAAGCCAGGTTAGCTTTTATTTAGATTACAATCGAGAGCTCTGGCCTGGCCAGGCCATCGTCCTCCAACTCAGGATAGTATGGAACCATTGCATCCGCGCTCTGAACGTAGGCGTCGTTGTAAAGTCGCCAGTATGGCGTGCGCACCTTGCGTGCTGAGTGGAAGAGACCAGCCCAGACGTAGTTCATGACCACACCAGTGCCAACAGCCATCCGGATGGCATCAATGGCTTCAATGACACGGTCGATGACGTGGGGACTGGTTTCGAAAATGTTAGGGAAGACCAGGTTGAGTAGATGGATCATGGCGTCTTCACATCCCAGACCGACTACACCAAGGGCAATGTGTTTAACGACACTGGCAGCAGTTTGCCGATGCACTTGATCACGGTCGATGAGGGCATCCTCAAGCAGAGGAGTAACCGCATAGACATAGTCCTTGGCCATCTCGCCAATATATTCGAACAAAAAGGACATGGCCTTCAGCACACCATTCTGGACATTCAGCTCAGGAACCCGGTATTCGTTCATCAGAGCCGGAAGGACAGTGAACGGAGCGCAGGTCTCAGCCACGATACCAATGGCGACAGCAGTACAGACACGAGACTGACGTTCCTGGACACGGAGGTTGTTAAGCAGCGTAGCCAGGACGTCCTGGGGGCCAATAGCCTTGGCGATGAAACCGAAAGTGTTATTCGCCGCACGACGGATACCCTTCTTGTGCGCTTTCAACATGTCAAGCAGTTCGAAGCAGATACGCATCCACTCGCGAGCGTTGACGGATTCGGGCCCACGATCAGCAATACGGCCGACCAGATCAATGGTGTTCTCTTGGACCTTCTCATGACGGTTACGCAGGATGGGAGTCAACCGTGGCAGAAGGTCGCGAATGGGCGGCTGCATCTGGTTGATACCCACAACAGTGACAATGGACCGAAGAGCACCGAGGATGGAACCGAGAACTTCGGGATACTCCTCACCCAGATATTCGTAGAGCACAATACCAAGCTTACCCATAAGCGCATCCTCTCCGCATTGCTTCATGACCATTGCGATACGGGAAATGAGGTCGGCAGCTTGCTGGCGGACTGTAGCGGACTTGTTGTTCAGACGCCAAAGAATAGTACTGACAATCTGCGGGAGGTAGGGCTTGCAGCGAGTACCAAGTGCGTTAACCACTGTACCGAAACCGTTGAGGATCACAATATCCTCAATGCTTTGCTCCTGGAACGCATAGAGGACGCCATCAATCAACCTTTCTTCAAGCCGCTCTGATATGTCGGCAGCCCCAAGGGCTGCAATCAGCTTCTCAACAGTTTCGACGGTCATCTTCCGGTAGGGTTCGCTCTCATCCTTCAGGTTATTGACCACACGTTCAAGGATTTCTCCCACGCCGACTTTCTGTCCAAGATCAACAGTCGTGTCCACAACCTGGCGATAGTTCCTTCTGTCCAAAGCCATTCGCCTGACCCAGAAACTCTTGAAAAAATCGGTCAACACGTGTTCCTTGAGATAACTAGCCGTCACGCCGTTAGTGCTCGCGCACTGTGACACCACCTTGAGGACGACCTTCTTCATCTCTTCATCAGGGGAAGAAAATTCACGTAGGAGAATCTCCATGATCTGACTGGTATAGTAGTTGGCATATTCTTCGTCCATAAGAGGAATGATGTAGCCGACAGCTTTCAGGAAAGCAGCTAGACCCTTGCCACGCTGCTTTCTGGCTCCGGTCCAGAGTGGGTTAAGAATCTCATCAAAACTCTCAATACCGTAAGGATTGGCAGCCTCAGCTAGCGCAGCCACTGCAAGAGCAGTGACGGTTCTGACCTTGGCCTGTTCATCGCTAAGATTGTCTGCAATACAGTCAACCAGACCTTTCAGGTGAGGTAGAATAGCACAGCCCATGAGAATGGGAATCTGTTGGACGATCTTGACTCCGGTATGCCGGGCTTGCCAGGACTTCTTACTGCGACACACAGCACGAAGGAACGGAAGCAGAGCTGGAATACCAAGGGCAGAAGCAACGACGGCGAATGCTCGGGCAGTTGTGTTCCGGACGTATTCATCCACGTGGTCGATATCGGGACGCATGGTGCTGATCATGGTAGCAAGACCAGCCGCCTTTGCCAAGTTGGAGATGATTTCTCTACCTTCAACGCGAGCATAGTAATCCTGGTCGATGAGCAAGGGCTCGATGACGACAAGAATCTTGTGGACGTATGGGCGAACAAGATCATCTAGCTTGTAGAGCACACGGTCAATAACCTTGACCAACAAGTGACGCTCTTGATCCTCGAGCGACTTCTCCATGAGCAGGGGAAGGATCTGGTTGAAAAGAGGGCCAGCGCCGAATTGCCGCGCGTTATCCGTGAGTTGACGCAAAGCAGTCTTTCTCATGGGCGGTGTGCCATTCTTGACCTTGAGCAGCAGCCTCATAATCTTCCTCTCTTTCAGTTCCTCTACCGACATCGTGCTCTCATCGCCCCCTTCCATCAGTTTGCCAAAGTATGCCATATCTTCGGGCTTGAAGAACTGCAGATCGCCAACACCTGGGATTTCAGTTGGCAGCTGCTTGCCCAATGCACGAGCACTCTCAGGCTCCTGCATCATAAACCCTCCTACGCCGCCAGCCGCGGGAACAGGAGCTGGAGTTGCCATGAGCTTCCTTGCAGGTGTTCGGATCGGTGCGTATCCCGGCGGGGGCTCAAGAATCTTGTAGCCCTCTGAGGGAAGCATCATATCAAGTTCCTCATCGGAGAGAGGGGCGTTTCGACCAGAAATATCAGTTCCAAAACTGGTTGGAATCATAGGCACACCCGCTTGAGACGGATGCATTGGCGTCGCAAGTCCTTGATTGCCAACTGGTGTTGCGGCTGCGATTGCTGGAGCTTGATCCCACCTTGATCGCCGTTTGGGAGCCTCTTCGGTGGTGCCAGGCACAGCGGGTGCGGGTGTTTGATCCCATCGCGATCTTTTTGCTTTCGTCTCGGAAGGTTGAGGAGCTTCAGAAACATCTTCTGTGGGTTCGCCAGATACATCCCACCGCTGCTTGCGCTTTCGTCCCGTGGCGACTGAGACTGTCGAACCAGCCTCGGCATTTTCCTTATCCTCTAACTTCAGAGTGGCCTCATGTTCAGTGACACCGTTCTCGCCACGTGCCTGTTTCTCTGCAATCAGCTTCTGGACACGCTCTTCTTCTTTCTCTAATTCACGGCGAGCCATGATTTCACGGTATGTCTGGCCATCTGTCTCCACATTGGCGTGAGTGTTTGCCGCAAAGGGATCAGCCCTGGTCGGAGTTAGAGGGCCTCGATTGAATCGACGCTTTTGATAGTCTGTCTCCCGGTCCGCAATCCTGCCCGCCTTTTCACGTCCAGTAAGGATATCCTCCTCCTCAACGCCATTGCCGTGAGCAAGCTCGTCTATCTGATCTTTGGTTGCGGTATACTGGCCAACCAGACGGTGACCGCCGTCCGCGTCTTCCATTTCTTCATCGCCATCAACAGCGATCGACGTGTTATAGCCTGCGTACTTGTCGGGACCCTCGCGGTCGTACAGAGTGGTATCAAAGGTATCGGTCAGGGAGGCCTTGGTGGAGTTGTCAGTGCGCTGGCTAGATGAATCAAAGGTCCTAGAACCTTTCTTCCCAGCTGTAGCGGCATTCCGCTCAGCTTGGAGCTTGCGAACAGCTTCGAAATCAGCTGCAGAGGCAATCAGCACGGCGTTTTCGGTTAGGGGTGGAAGAGACCTACCGTCAGACATGTTGGCGGCTATGAGTAGTCCGCAAATGAGGTAGAGAGTAATATATCTCTAGTACAGGTAGCAGTAGCTACATTCGGATCAAACACCGCGATAACGGTGTGTGTGAATGCGGTTTGGGAAGCAATTTGCTGATGGCTTGCGATGAGAACGAATTGAGCGCAAAAAGGAAGTCGTTCGGGCCACGCTAGTTTGACGACGACTAAGCTGTGTCATGTGACTTCCAGTGGCGCAAACTCTTACTCATTGCTGAATAATCCACGATTACTGTTTTCTTGTTTTAGTAGGTGAGCAGTGCCGCCCTAATAATAAACAGCGTTGTCACTGATATTGCTCGAAGTCAAACATCCTCTCCATGTCCCTCCATACCCTCCCAGAAGAAGTCCTCCAAGGTGTTATTGGCAACCTCTCCTCTCATCAGGATGTTGCCTCACTTTCCCTGCAATGTCGCCGCATACATCGCCTGTGTGAGATGTCCACTCGGCGCAAATACCGCCGGGTAAGGCTGCGAGACACCTTTGATTTCGCAAAGGCATTTGGAATGTTACTCTCAATCTTAAAGAAACCACGACTGGGTTTGTATGTCCGTAATATTCAGCTGGAGCGATCGCCAGCAGTAGGGTACGGATTCGTGGAATCCTACAAACCACGCCCTGCAGAAAGGGCACTGGCGTTAGATGACCTATACAGGCTCAAAAAAGCTATTGAACGATTGGGTTTTGAGTTGGTGGAAAAGCAGGAGAAGATTTTAAATATGCTCCAGGCTCCCGCTATCATGTAGTATGGGCACCCTTATTTTCCTTGACCAATCCGTATTCTCTGTTGCATGGGATCTGGTCATTTCTCTGCATTCTGAACTCTGAATTAGTGACGACGACCCCCGATCCCCGTTTCTGGCCCAAGCACTGGCAGCCGTCTTAGTCTCGGTCTCGCCTATGCTTGAGTCACTTAGCTTCTGCCCCGTTGGATATGAGGCACCCAAGCTCTTGAGATTGGAAGCAGAAGCGGACGGTGAACCGCTTCCCATATCCGATTATGTATTCAAGCATTTCCTGGAACTGGCCAGCATCCGTGGGAAGAACATGCCGTTCTTACAGAACCTCCGAGCTGTTAGGTTCCTAGTCGATCCGAATACCCGCGTGTATCATTCGTCATATTATCAACCCTATGACCTATTCACAAGTCTTAATCTAGTGCGACGTCTGCCGGCAGTGGAATCTATCCGCATGGATGCTATTGCGGACGCGGATCTCCCTAGTGTTGAGCCTCCACCACGGTTAGGAAATTATACCTGTGTCACGATACAGCACTCCAGCCTTAGTTACCCATACCTGGTATATACAATCGAATCAGCCAAGCGCTTGGAGAAGTTCACATATGGGATTGGCGGCCGCTCCTCATGGAACGGTATGCTGACGCACTTCCATCCAGAGCGCGTCTTTCGGGCGCTTTTTGCTCATCAAGCCTCTCTGCGCCAGCTGGATCTCGATGTAGAGGAGGAAACTCGTCTACTGGACCTTGATAGTCTGAGGTATCTTAAGTATAACCCAGAAGAAGAAGAGCACGAGTCGCCCCGGGACGATCCAGTTTACCTACATGAGTGGGCTGATGAACTTGAGAAGCTTCCTGCGGTGGACGAATCGACTGCAGATTTTTGCTGTCTTCGAAATTTGTTGCAACTGGAGGACCTCAGTCTAGGAGTTCATATTCTTTATCTTTATGCGCGTGGATACGGCGGTGACCAGCTCGATAATGGATCGTTTTCCCTTGTCGATCGCCTGCCGCCCAACCTCGTGTCACTTCGCATATACGGCTATAAGAAGGGAATGAAGCCGCGGCTGAAAGGTGTTTCGCAGAACTCGCTTGAGGAACAGCTTGCCAAGCTGATGGCGGAGAAAGATGAAAAACTCCCCCGACTTGGCGTTGTTGAGGGTATCGAAGAGCCGATCCCGAATGGCGAGACGATAGAGGGGCCCATGAATAAAGATAGGCTTTGGAAGGGGGATGCAGACGATGATTGGACGGTGTACGAGTATGCATAAGAGGCATAAGGCTACCAACAAATATGAGATTCAAGCTCGTGCTGAGTCCGTGACGCGTGATCTGGCTCCTCTAATTTGATATCTATGCGATCTACTGCGGAGCTTGCCGGCAAGCAAATGCAGGAAGTCAAGACCAAAGCAGTGGGAAACTACCTACGGCTTTCCGTACTCCATTCTTGATGAGCTGAGGGAGGCTGCTCAGATTGTGACCGATTCTACCCCTACAGCAACACCGCGGTGAGAACAAGAGAGTAGCTCAGAAGATCCAGGGCAGATGTGCCTTGAAAACAAGCGATGCAAACTCTCTCGCATAAAAATTCAAGAAACCTAACCTGGCTAGCAATCTATTACTTTGAACCGCACAGATCTCTGCATCGCCTGAATAGCCAGCCTGTTGATCTCGTTAGTTACTCCAGGTACTACGTGTTTCCAATCAGAGATATAGTAAAGTTGGGAATCCAAATGATCTAGCGCATTTGCTTAGTCTGGTGAGACTGTTTCTCAGCATGGTTGCGAGAAAGGACGAAATGACCCGACTGACAGAAGCTCGAGCTTCTCATAACCACCTGAAGCAGACAGCGCAAAACTAACTTTGTGAAGAAGTCTGCTAGACTGAAGACGAGAGAGTTGTTTTCAGGTCATCTTGTGTCCCTTTGCCTGCCAGGCTGAATGAATTTGCAAGAAGTCGAAGGTATAACGAGGCGGCGCTTAACATTCTGACATTGTTGGTTTTATCCTTGTCGCAACCAACAATGACTGTACCACGGCCCCTCGTCATATACTTTCCAATTGGCTCATCCTTCCGGTTATTCATTTATTCAATTGACGTGTAGCATCTATCAAAGTCTATCTTAGACCCTGAGATGTCATGCGCCTCCACTAGTAGGTCAGACTTCATCGGACTTCATATGTTCGAGACAGCATGTGCCGTGGGTATCCCGCCCTCAGGATTACGGCGCGGCTAATGTTCTATTTCTAGATTGTGCACACAGCCTGGACTCATGCTGTAGTCTGGGTGCCTTCATCGTCCGGGCCCAAGCGATTGAGCCAATGGCATGCGGTGTGTTTCCATTTGGCGGAAGCAACAAGTGCATGTTGTTGAAGTTTACGAATGGCCTATGGCCTTGCTTCCCTAAGAGGGGGCTTTCAGATCTCTCCTCGTGAAAAAGAACTAATTGCAAACGCAACGGCATTGAATTCAGCCCTTATTATGCCTTGCAATGCTCCTTCACAAAGAGACCGGGTCAGCGCCACTTGCTACAGCTGTGAAATAGCCAAAGAGAGAGCTGCCTCTATCAACCATGTTGGCTACTAAGTTCTTGCTTTGTTGGATGGCATTGCTGAGCCATGGTTTCTATATCGGAATGAACAGAGAAGTGAGCAAATATTTCAGTTCTTTGTACATGCGTTCGGATGTCTCCTCGCGTATTAATATGCAGTTGGGCATATTATCAAGAGGATCAACCTTCAAAATTAGCCAGCAAAGCATATTGAGCATTATTTCCTCAACTCAACCTGCTGTTCTACTTCACCATGTATTTCTCGACGTTCATCTCCATTTTCCTTGCAATCGTGACGGAGGCCTCTCCCCTTGCCCGAGGCAGTCGAGTCCTAACTGAAGATTTTGTGAAGATCACCAAAGAACTCGATGGGATACAAGTCGGAAACTGCGCTGACATCAACCCCACGATACCCTTGTGTGACACGAAACCAGCTTTGCCTGCGCCGTCTCACGGAATGAAGCTGAAATTTGTGGCGCTTGGTCGGGGTACTCAGAACTACACCTGTTCGTTATCTGATAAATCCACTTCCCCGGTTGCAATTGGCGCTGTTGCGACACTTTTCGACGCATCCTGCCTTGCCTCACATAATTCTGCAATACTCCATGGGCTCCCATCTGCAATGAGTAAGGTGTCAACTGATGCACTTGGGCTTTTTGCCATGCTCCTCGGTCAAATGACTTCACGGACAAGCAGTGGGTTGATCCTTGGAGAACATTACTTTACGGGCACAGGAGCGCCTATGTTCGACCTACGCATCGGAGGTCACAAGGACTGGCTACAGGCTAAGAAGGGTTCAAGCGTACCAGCGCCCTCTCAGGTATCGAGCCACTCGAAGGACGGAGAAGACAATGTTCCGTGGTTGAAGCTTGGCTTCGCTGATGGTTTGGGTATTCGGGTAGGTAGTTAAGTATGCTTTAGCGACACTTCATTAGGCTGACGGGCATATCAGGAAGTATATCGGATACACACGTCCGGTGGGCAAGCGCCAACTTCTTGCAAGGGCCAGAAGGAGAGCTTTGAGGTGGAGTATGCGGCAGAATACTGGTTCTATGGTTGATGTGATCCGTTCATTTACGCATCTCTTCTTCTTGGACGATGATTAGCTTGCTTCTTCGAATCTATCCTGCGGTTGATTCTCATAACGTATATCTTGTTGAAGTGTTGGGGCGGAGTGTTACTTTTTTGTAGTTATGTCCACACTGCTCAGTCTATTTCAAGAAAACACGCAGCAATGGAGTCATCTATTACCTGGGATTGAATCAACGTAAACGGAGAAAATCTAAACGAAATCTTCCAAACATCCGCTCTTGTTCAAAATGAGTCATTTACTTCAGCCGTTGTATATAAAAGAATGCGGGGATCTTCCGAGGTCGGGGTGGAGATGCGGACAACCGTCCGATCTGGTGGGGACATGGAGCTTGATAGGATCAACACTTTCCACAATTGAGGAATCCCCAAGCACTGAGTCACCGCACGGAACTTTAAGTGTGAACCCGAAACGTCTGCGATAGTCGACATTGGTCTCCTCCACTTTACACCTCCCACACAAGCGCGAACTACTACAGGTGTACCAATGGATCCACCACCCGAAAAACACTACGTCTCAGCAGACAACGCCAGGACATTCGTCTACTCCGTCTTGACAGGCAACGGCGTCTCCCCCGAAAATGCCACCATCGTCGCCGACTGCCTGGTCCGCGCCGACCTACGCGGAGTGGACACCCACGGCATCAACCGCATCCCATCCTACATGGAACGCATCCGCCAAGGAGTGCTAGACGCCAAAGCCAACCCCGTGCTGAACCAGATCACGCCCGTCGTGGCCCAGGTAGACGGACAGAACGGGTTCGGGTTCGTCGCCGCTCATCTCGGGATGAAGCGGGCGATTGAGATGGCGCGCGAGTTCGGAATCGGGTTCGTCTCCGTCAAGCATTCGAATCATTTCGGGATGTCCGCGTGGGTGGTGCAGCAGGCGCTTGACGCGGGGATGATGAGTCTGGTTTTCACGAACTCGTCGCCTGCGTTGCCTGTTTGGGGTGGGAGGGAGAAGTTGATGGGGGTGTCGCCGTTGGCGTGCGGTGCGCCGGCGGGCAAGGAGAAGCCGTTTATTCTGGATATGGCGCCCTCCATTGCGGCGCGGGGCAAGATCTACAAGGCTGCAAGGCGGGGGGAGAAGATTCCCAGCGATTGGGCTTTGGATGGTGAGGGGCGGCCTACGGATGACCCGCACAAGGCGCTTGAAGGTGTGATGTTGCCTATGGGAGGGCCGAAGGGGTCGGCGCTCGCGGTCATGATGGATGTATTCTCTGGAGTCCTGTCTGGCTCTGCATTTGCGGGCCATGTCACTAACCCTTATGATCCTTCGAAGCCGGCTGATGTAGGGCATTTCCTCGTCGCTATCAAGCCGGATCTCTTCATGGGCCTGGAGGAGTTTAAGGAGCGCATGGATTACCTTTATCAGAGGGTGGTGGGCTCTGAGAAAATGGCTGGAGTAGATCGCATCTACTTTCCTGGGGAGATCGAGCAGATCACGCACGAGGAGAGATTGAAGACGGGCATTCCGTATGTCCAAGCAGAAATCGATACCTTGAACAGGGAGGCAGAGAAGGTTGGCGCAGAAAGGATTGTTACTGATCGGAAATGATTTATTTAATGTATTCCGCTACTACGAAGCTTCTTGTACATAGAAAGGAAAGTTCTCAATATTGTTTTTCAAGCCCGCCATGTATTTACATTAGATACCGGCGATATATCAGTTCGACAGATGCAGACCAATTCAGTCGGAGCTGTACCTCAGGACCCATTAGAAGAATGAGTGATCAATCAGAGCCAAACCATTGCCACCTGCTAATCATGAAATAATAATGGCACAGATCCACAATTACCACAGTTGGAACATTGAGCTGTTATGCCAGGTGATCACATGATGCCATAAATGTGGCGCAGTAAATGCAAAATCAAATGCTCCATGAATTTGCCACAATCGCTTCTATGGTGCCATGTCAGAAGCTCCAAGCGTGTCAGGGTCCAAGCTCTTCGTTTTCAGCTGTTGACTTTTCGGACGTTCCGGTTAAGCTCGCAGACTGCGGCGACTCTTTGTGGAAGCAGCATTCCTAATCTCAGGGCGGAAATGATGTAGTTAAAGGCCATGCGATATGTCATAGTCACATGATCTAATACCAACAGGGAAACTGTACTGCGCGTGAACTTCAGCGCGTCTTCATCAGCTAATGACAGCTCACCGTCCCGGATTTTTCTTTTTATCAACCCACTCAACTCATTTTTACTCTGCTAAGTGCAGTATGCCAATTGCCTAAATTGTAACAATAACACCTATCACCACTAAGCGCAAGATCTCGGTTCCGCCTGTCCTCGACCGTTGACGTCCGAGCCCAACAACACAACGCCTACCATCACCGCTCAACACCCATCGAAATGACCACCGATTACAGCAAGAAGACGAACGCGGAGCTAGTGGAGATTCTCAAATCTCGTTCGCTCCCTCACACAGGCAAGAAGGCGGAGATGGTCGCTCGCCTCCAGGAAGACGACGAAAACAAAGCCAAGGCCGCATCGGCCCCTGCCCCTGCTGCAAAGCCTGACGCCGCGGACGACGTCATCGATTGGGAAGATGATGATGTACCGGCTGCTGATACTACTGCCCTGAAGCCTTCTACTGAGGCTGGCGCCGCTGCCATTGCTGCTGGCGGCAAGGGTGCGGTCGCCAACCCGGTCGCTGTTCCGAACCAGAAACTCGACACCGACCCCGCTACTACGGACGATTTGAAGGTCGAATCGAAGGGCGCGGCACCATCGGCTGAGAGTGGAGCGCAAGGGCACGAGGGCACGGAAGGCGCGCCAGCTGAGCCAGCGCCTGCTGTCCCGGCCGAAGAAAAACCGGCACCGGACTATTCTATGGGGCTGCCCATCACTGAGATGGAAGAGGAGTTGAAGAAACGCAAGGCTCGAGCGGAGAAGTTTGGTGTTACCGAGGAGTCCAAGGCTGCCATTGCGGAGGCGGAGAAGCAACTCGAGAGGGCGAAGCGGTTCGGTACGGCGGTTCAGCCTCCTCCTGCTGGCGGTGTCAAAGGTCTGGATGAAGCCCTCCCGACAGAGAAGTCTCGCAAGAGAGGTCGGGGTGAAAATGAACAAGCGTCACGAGGGGGCAAGCGACGTGATATTGGCGGCAGAGGCAAATTCCGGGGAAAGGGCCGCGGAAATCGAAACCAGACTCAACGGAATGAAGGAAATGCTGGCAAAACCAGCGAGCAGAGTAACATGAGTGATAAAGACCGTCTGGCCTTGGAAGCCAGAAAGAAGCGATTTGCGACTGCGGCATAGTGTCGGGTATGCCGATACTTCCATTCAATTGTACTCCATTTCATCAATTGGCCTCTATTCTCCGATTTCTTTATTTTCAATTTGCTGGCGTTACGGGAATATCTACAAGTGGAATATTATCTCATTCATGATGAAGTTGAGGTATTGTGACGTAGGAAAGAACCAAGCAATAGTCTCCATTACTGGATCGGAATATTGGTACCATGGATTCATTAAAGTGTATAATAATCAAAAGAAAACCGTTAAGATGCCATTTGTTCAAATGCTCTACATTGGCGTTCATGATCCAAGATCGTAGAAGGACAGTGAACAGACAGACTTCACTTGATAACTGGAGACTTGAGTTGCTGCGCCGACCGAGTCAGCTGAAAAGTGCATTAGGCCCATTTCTAGTCGGCCAGTGCGAGTGGTTCCTGCAGCAAACCAGCGCCTTTGACACTCAAATTACGCGGCTGATCTCGAATGATCGCGATGATCGGCAGCCTCTCTCCTCTTGCAGCTCCCTAGAGCACGAGGCTTCAAGCCATCATCGCAATCTTCGTATCATTGAACGCCTTGAGAATCTCGTGAGCTCCCTCTTCTATCTTGCTCCTTTCCACTTTGCATGCGTTTCTCTAAACTCTAACCAACGATTGCAAGAATGTACAGGCAACCCCGTGATCGTATACATCGATGGGCTTCTTTTTGGCCTCAAGTCGGCTCCTGTGAGCACGCTTGAATTGCCGCCGTCTCCACTGAAATCCCGAAGTCAAGGCCTCTACAAAGTGTCATTGCTTTTTCCGTCTGACGAATACGGTTATTTAAAATTCCCCTGTTTTGCCATCATTCTCAGTCCTGATGGATAAACCGGTACTGGCCCGCGTCTCGTTCGTCCGTTAAGTATCCCGTTCAATCACAGTCTTCACAAAGTACGAAAATCGCTTCCTTGCTCGTTTAGCGGCGGATCACAGAAGCCCCACGGCTCAGCGACTCCACAAATTTCGGGTGCAAAATTCCAAAACCATAGATGATGACAGTCCAATCAGGGTCCATATCCGGAGTTTCGCCAATTTGGCTTCAAGCCTCATCTCTCGTCGCATGGCGTTTGTACACGGTCACTGGCTGGTTTGCGGCCTGTTCAACCGAGTTCTCTAACATCGTCCGTTACAATTGTGGCCCATGCCCTTTAGCGGTGGGTTCTCCGTTTCTCGTCCTTTGCTCTCCTATCCATGGTTGTGTAAAGGGACGGGGCGAACCTTGCAGTGAGGCCATAGAACATCAGAATCGGCAGGTTAATAAGATAATGGGAGGTGTCGCAGCTGGACACCATCATCGTCATCATGGCATGTCCATTGGCAGGTCTCCCTACCATATGCAAGAGTTACCAGGAGTGCGAATAGTAGTAAAGATGCCGAACTGTGTTACTTTGCAGAGCCCATGCGCGTCCAGTCGAGAGCATGCCATTTGAGCTTGCCAATGATCGACGAGGCTTTGGTAACGCCGTATCGGTCTCGCCGGGGACGTCTTGAGGCATAACTAATCTTCTTTAGTTCGTGCAGTAGTAGACTAGATACTGCGAGGCAGACCAACAGTGGCAGAGACGCAGACTGGTCAGTGACCACCACCTGACTTGCACACTAATATCCACCCACAGCTAAGAAAAGAAACCCCCCCAAATTGTCCGATACTAGTCCGATGAAGTTCATCAATCATCGTCCAACATCCAGACGTACGGCGGTCAAGGCCAAGCGAGAATTATCAAGGCTTTTATGATTCGATCAGCAATCAATGTTGCTCTGCTGCTACTTCGTACCAACAGAATTGATACAGCGATTTACCTGATAACTTTACGGATCAGGAATCCCCGATCAGGCGGACTGCGCGAACGAAGAACATTTCGCTATCTCCGCCACTCAACTCCAGTTCAACCTGTCAAGTCATTCCGCTCACTGTGCTCCCTCAAGGCAAACGGACTGGATCCAAAAGTGGGCCCTTTTTCGATACTTCCATCCAACTGCCTGATACTGTGCACGATCCTGTCCCCAACCTATAGAGTGCTCTACACTAATTTCCATTTGCTCTGCTAAAAAAGCCGCGTCTCGACAGATTTAGGATATGTGAGGCTTTAGCTTTCTCGAAAGCGAAGACTTTGCAACCCATTCGCCAATGATTGTGCTGGTCACATGGGATCTCGAATATAGACGCCAACGTCGATCGCACAATTCGCATCACATTTACCCGTTCTAGCCTACCCATATAGACTGCACTCCAACATGTTCAATATTGAAGCTCCTCGTCCCCCACTTAATTTCTGCAATTCAAAAGAACTTCTGATTGGCCTGTAAAATCTCCTTCCTCGGGGGTCAATCCCTCGAAAAGCAGATTTGCAGTAATTCTTGGGGAACCCTGTTCCTGGGTCAAATATCATGTTGCCCCTCCTTTCTTACCTGACTGTCATTCTGTTCTGTTCTTTTCCCCTTTCTTATTTTCGTCCTACGCAGCTGGTCTCCTTTCATAAGTTTTCTCATTATCTTTCTTGCCTTCTCTGACGTGTTCGTGCAGCTCCAGCTCGGCAGGTTTGACAGTTTAGCCACGAGTGACTCGGTATTGTGGCGAAGCAGCTGCAATGCCCTGATCGGCTCAACTATAGTAGTTCACTTTTAATCTACGGGAATTTTTTTGCCTTTTTTCAATTTTTTTTGTCCATTTTTATATTTTATACCTTCATATGGCCTTCGGGTCGCTTTACCAGATACTACAACATTGAACACCATTTTTGTTGCACTGCAAGCTTCATGGTTAGCACGACATATTGCATCTTTTCGCCTGAGCGTTTGATATTGTCGTTTCCTTACTCCGTACCAGCGATAGATACCCCTGTTCTCGCGGCCTGTTTGCATTCTTCAACCTATTCACTGGGTAACGCCACATTACTTTTGCTTACGAGGTCAAACAGGATGCAATAGAAGGAGTAAGTATGGGCACCGTATCCGGCTTTTGACCAATGCTCACAGAAAACAACGATTTTGCAGCTTTATATACAACTGGGAAGAACAACTTCTAGGCGGAATGATTCCATACCTACCTCATCTTCCTTTCGATTCTGAAACATTGGTCTTCGGACTGGAGCCGGATATCAAAGTCGGGTTGCACCATGTCGTCGTACAAATCCGAGGGTGGTCGTATCCCCAGGCTGAAAGATCCTACCTTCCAGCGTCGAAATGGGACATTTTTCGGGGTGAACTCCTCTTCTAGAACCTATGGCCCTTCTGCGCTACACTCGAGGGTTCAAATTTCGAAGTCAATGGCCCCAACAGCAAGAAATAGCAGATCATCCTCCTTTTCAGATGCGGAAGAAGCTCGCGGAGTGCAAGCCTCTTTAGCTGCTTCGCAGACTTCATCCACTGCCGGTGTCCATATGTCGTTACTTCCCCGAGCGAACACTCATCCATCACCGTCAACAGCAACACCCCTTCCGTCCCGGCACCTCAAGCTCAACCTGTGCCACGTCCGGCCAGTCCTACGGTGGGGACCCATGTCTCAGAATCCACTAGCGAAAGACCACGCAAAGTTCTGCGTCGCAGAGCACCCACAATTGGTCGGCAGAACGAAGTCTATGGACTCAAAGCAACATCAGGGAAGCCAGAGAAACTGAGTGTGGTCATTCCAAGCAGTGCTCCCCCGATCATGTTGCGAATCCTACTACCCAGCCGTCATTGGACCAAGCAATTCCAGTGAGACACAAGCCGTCGCCTAGTTCTTCGCACCCAAAGACAGCAAGCAAAGCAAGGGCACAACCAGTGGAACAAGGGCCCAGTGAGTTCGCTAGTTTACGAACTACAGTCAACACCCAGAATCTACCTCCTCCGACCCCCATTTTTGCGTCGGCTAGCAGCCCCTCGACAAGATACTCTGGTTCTCCGGGGATATGGAGCAGGACTTCTACTCCCACCTCACTGTCATCCTATTCCCCTGGGATTATTCATTCCGCGAAGGTCGGTCCTCGCTTCAGGCACCCGAGCCCTTCCGAGTCTAGACTCCCCATCTTCTCACCTATAATGCAGAAGTCCGACTCACAAGATGATCCATTGGATTCAGCTGGGGACGGGTTTCCGGGCATGACTGCTGGCGCAGGGTTAAGCACGTTGTCAACGTCAACGAAGAATCATTTCGACAATCCTCCCAACAAAGATGGTCCCGCAAAGCGTGCTACGCCGACTGGGAATCAACTGCCGCTTAAAACATCGACAAAGTCCATCCTGCCGAGAATGACTAGACCAAACCTTGCGGAGAATTCGGAGTCATCTGAGGAGCAAAGCAGTGGTGCCGCCGGGGATCACGGGAATCTCAAAGGATCGGTATTGAAAGGCGAGGTCAGTGGTTCAGGGCATGTACCTTCAAGACCTAGTAGGGAAGGTACTCACCGGTTAGAGCTTGAGCCATCACCTGTGATCCGTAGCAACCTCCCTCCTGGCGCTGTGGCGAGTCATAGGAGACATGGATCCGGGGCTAGCTCAGTGGCGTTGGGGAGAAGTCATTTGGTCTCAAACGTCTCCGCTGCCACCTCAGTTGATTCGTTGCAGTCAAGGTCTTCTGCCCGACGACCCTCACTCATACCCAGCTCACCAGAGTCAATGCGCAAATCGCCGCGAACGTTGATAAAAGAACCTAAAACAAAACAGGATGCGACGAGCCCCGCGAAATCGCGGCGATACGGTCTTTTTTCAAAGAAGTCAAACTCTGAAACGGAGGTACAAAAACCCGAGGACCGACACATCCGCAAGGGTCCTGCAGCTGGGACAGGCCACGAGGGTTATGGAAGATATGCACAGCGTGGTCGGAAGGGAACTGTCGGCAGCAACAGCGATACGAGAGCAAGGTCAACGAGCACCAACCGCAGCACACCGCGATCGGTTTCCAGCACCAAGACAAGTGTTAGAGGTCGAACAGATATGGATCTTGATGATTTTCTGCTAGATCGTCTAGAGCCTGTCTTCATCACTGGTGGAGGCATGGACGGTGCCTCATTGACGAAGACACAGAGTGGGAAGAGTACGAGCGGTCTCAGCGTCGAATCTGCTCAAAGTTTAGTCAAGTATTCAGGGTCGAGCTCAGCTGGTTATTCAACGGACTCGTTGCCTGCTCCGACAGCCGAGAACGAGCAACGCAATCCCTATCTGAACAATTCAACTCAAGCTAGATTGCAGGTCTCTAATCAAGCTGTTGCAAGCTCTAGCGGACTAGGTCATGCCGTGGCCAACGATGTTGGGTCTGGACAGGCGTCCTCTCGTCCATCGAAGCGTCCTGATGAGACCCCGCTTTTGTTCAGCGGCGAAGGATCGAGCGGAAGTGGGACGGCGACTGAGCAGCCTAAAACACCCCAGAAAAAGAGCAAAGGATTCAAGTGGAGTTTCTTCCAGAGACATGGAAACGCGCAAAAGGAGAAGAAACCAACCCGTGAGCCGCTTGTATCTCCTAACACCCCTCAGCTCCATGCTACAGTTTCCCCAGTCTTAGTATCCCGGCCTGTCGCACACTACGCCTTGGTGGATGCCGACTCCGACCCTCTGGAAGTTATCATCAACCACGTTGAGGAGTCGCCTCCGACGGAGATTGAGGATTTGGACTCACGAGTGGAAATTCCGGCTGCCTTGAATATCAGGAAGCAAAGCCAATCTATCCTGCTTCCATCGCCTCCGAAGCTTCAAGGCGAGTTCTGTCGAGATCGCCCGGCTTCACCAAAGGTCTACTTTAACAAGGACCCTTTACTCCCCAACTCCAAGGCAAGCACATCTAGTGGACGCCCACGACGGTTGGCATCTGTCGGCCGTATTCCCGAAGTGATTTCGAGGCGGGATCGGCAACACAAACCAGCGCTTCAATCGTTCTCGAGGCCATTTAGCATGGCAGATTCTCCGTCCATAGCTGCTCCGGCGACAGATAATCTTCTTCCCGAATTGCAAACTTCGAGTCAGCCCACGATCACAGCTCAGTCCCACGGGGCCCCTCGTCGTCCGTTGGGTCTTGGATTTGACCTCACTTGCCCCTTTGGCGATCCTGAGGTAGCGACTGCTCTCAATTTTATCTCAGGTCCTTACTCCAAAGACGAATTCTTAACGTTCTCACCGAGGAAGGATTCGGGTTTTTCCACGTCAAGCGGTTCTGAAGCTTTGGCCGCTGTCACTGCTGTGGTTCCGATGCCGGGTTCAGACCCCACCGAGGACGAGGTCTGGGCCGAGTATGACGATCTCATTGATCACGTTCTTTCACCAGAGGTTCCAGGACGTACTTTGCCCGGGGAGTCTACCGAGGATGGGAAATTGGAAATGGCCACCGTGGCCAGCAAGGCGCTTCAAGCCGAGATGAACTCGAATGTCAATAGACACTCGCCTGTTATTCTCGTCGACACTCCGGCCGTGGCTCTCACTCCCTCATCGCCTCAACCAAGTGACGGCTCGTTTCATTTGCGGCGTTCCGCGATAGCTTCGGCCCTCCACTCTTCCATTACCCCTTCATCCCAACCTTCGTTCAGCGACATCATTGCTAGCTACTGTTATGATCAAGATGGAAGGCGAACAAGCAATGAGAAGGTAGATGACAACTCAGCCTCACTTGCACCTGTTGAGCAACAAGCAGCCTTCCTCAGCTCGTCTTCACTGGACTTATCCGAGACGTTCGAGACTTGCCGGCAACGGAATACCATTCTGTTTGATATTGCGGAGCGCGATAGAGAGGGACCAACCGCCCAAACCAACATACGCTCAGGATCTCTCATGACAAGCCGTTGGCTGTCGTTTGGAAGGGTACTCTTTAGCCCTGCGCATAATCACGTTAAAAACGGCGAGCTAGAGAGGATTCTCGTAATCGACGGACTGGGAAACGAGGACTGGTCATTCTATTGCGCCCTCACCTACCCAAATGCCGACATCTACTGCCTGACCGACGGACCCGCGAAAACTACATTGAAGCATCCAGCTGCTTGGCAACCGCCAACGAACCATCATACGGTTCACCAGGACAGCTTGGAACAACCGTTTCCTTTCGCAAAGAGCTTTTTTACAGTCACCGTCTTGCGATTTCCATCTGCATGCTCCGAAAGCGTCCAGAACAACATTGTGTCGGAATGCAAGCGCGTGCTTCGACCTGGTGGCTATATGGAGATGAGTGTGCTCGATCTGGACATGGTAAACATGGGAATTCGGACCCGCAAAGCCGTGAGGATGCTCAAGGAGAAGACATACTTGTCTGACCCCAGTATCAGTTTGAAGCCTGCGAGTGACAACCTACAGAAGCTGCTGGGACTACAAGGGTTCGATAGTTTGCGGCGCTGCATGGTGCGGATTCCGGTGACGGGGGTGATTGTAAGATCTTCAGCCTCATCTTCCTCCACTTCATCTTCCAATCCCTCCACATCTGTTGCCACCGGTACGCCATCTACTGCGTTCTCAGCTCTGACAAGTTCCTCGACGAGCGCGCAACTACCGAAAGTACATGGCAAATCGCCATCCAACGACACCGACTTGTCTCTTGGAGACCTACTCTCAGACCCCTCCCCCTCTCCCTCAAACGACGAGTCGATACGGAAGATTGTCGCTAAAGTCGGCCGCTGGTGGTACACGAGATGTTATGAGATCCCAGTTCTGCCGAATGGGGATGCATCGTCGAGTATCTGGGCCGATAAGCGGGTTCTCCGTGAGTGTCAGAAACGAGGCACAGGATTCCGGCTGTTGATTGCATACGCACAAAAACCCAGCGAGGTGAAACGGCGGACTGCAAGTGTTTAACTGATTTATCCTCACGAGCCGATGATAACGACGCTGATGATGAATTACGAAAAACGATTGTGATGAACGACCTGACTTTTGATACGACGTTGCGTTTTCTTGCGACTATATCTGTTTAATATACCAGTTATTATTCATCGGTGGCAGGTATGCGGAAAGACAAAACAGACTGTCTTGATACATTTGATATAGGGCGACCTATTCCTTGCATTTGCATTGCGTATATTGGCGGCTGTATGAACCTTTGCTGTTTCTCTGCTTCTCTTTACCCTATCATCCGAAGCTGGTCTTTGGATTGATAGGGTTCGTTTCTTTCCGCTATTTCTCTTCTACTACTATACCCTGGAGGTTCTCTGTTTATAGCACATATGGCTAGGCACGAGATATACTTAATGAAGGATCTAATTTGGTCTTGATATTGTCCTCTCCCTATTGACTTCACATTTTACCAGCAATTCTACCTGCCTTCACGTAGTAGTTATGATTCAACCCACCCCTCCGACGACCGGAGTACAAATGTCCCACATGCCAACTCTCGGGCCAATATTGAATCCAGCTGCCTTGGATACATCATCCGCTCTTCTGTCGTCGCTTAAAGCACCTTGAAGCACCTAAGACAGGCCATTCTACTGCAGACAGAGACAGAGGTAACTGCAAACTGACAGTCGCAGTTGCCCCTTGAGCGCTCGGTATGGATAGGGGCTGGTATTACCGGAAAAGGAAATCCGGGTTTGCGTACAGGTACGAATTATTCTCCCCTTTGAGGGAACTGGCGATGTTGGCAAGGTCGCACAGTGTCTGGTTCTATCTTTGTTTCTGTCGTCCGAGTGCAACGATGTCGCTGTCACTGTCGCTGTCACTGTCGCTGTCGCCGTTGCCGTCGCAGTTCCGGTTACGATTGCGCTTGCCACCAGAATGTTTTGCGTCTGTGGCGAGTCTGACACTACTTACGTCGATGGCGAGACATACATCTACATCTACATCAACGTTGTGTATCTTACCTATATGCCTTGCAGATTCCTGCGGAGGCATGTTTAAGGCGAAGTTCGAGACAAGACCAGTGGCAATTGTGTTTGCGATGGCGAGAATGCCTTCCACGCGTCCATTCTAGGGAGGTGCAATTGAGGTTGGAAGTTTATATCTTTTCGGCGGTCTAGCTGCCAATGGAAGCGCGGATATCAGCCACCGAGGAACGTTGAGATGGCGGTGTAGATCGTGCTTCTTAGTGGCTGTTGGTTCTATCATGTAGATACCTCGTACCAATGTACTCTGTACAGAGAACAGAGTGTCTATGTCTGTGTCTGTGTCTGTGTCTGTCTGAGTACGGTGAGTAACTCTGGGTCATGACCGTGTCTACTCCGTATCTGCTGAGTGTATCCGAAACATACACGAGGTGTGCAGAATCAGCCATCACATGAGGGGTTGGGGATAGTTTTGATATTGAATACGGAGGTTGAAGAATCGGTGTTTGAGCTGGTGCCTATCTCAACATATGAAAAGGGCCGTGCGCTTGAGTTTGGGACTGCCATGGGCGTCACCGTGACCGTGATCATGGCGATGCTGAGTTGGCAGAGGACAAGGGAAGTTACGCACTGCTGCACCCCGCACTCGGTCATTGCACCTGGCGGACTTTCGTGGCGTGATATTGCAGACTCGGCTGCCTTGCATACTTTCTATGCATATCATTGTGCCATCATGCTGTTGGTGTGATTGGGACAATATCGCAACAGTCATATCGGTCCAGAGATATAAGTATAATGGGCTGGTGGTGTACCTGCCGACCAGAGGAGAGTGATACAAACCCATAGGCGAATGTATATCTGATTGTTGGCGGGTAAGAGATGAACCAGATCCAAACCTTCTCGTCCGTGGAATCTCCGAGCGGTCGTCTATTGGTGCCCGGAGTACGCAGCAGAGGGTCATCGGGAGCCTAAGCTGGCGTCGCTGGCAGAGAGAGAGGGGAAGGACAAGCCCCTCCCGGGGTTTCTGCGCGCTCGGATCTGTGCAAAACAGCGATGGCCCCCTTGCTTGTACATTGACAGCTCGTAAGGATCGTGAACTTCGAGATATGCTTTGTACTAGACGCGCCCGGTCCAGTTGAACAAAAAGCCAGAGCTGTCATATCGGAGCGTTGGGGATCCGGACTAATAGGAGAGTGATGGCGTTGAGGAAGGCCGAGGTGGAGGCGTCGCGGGGTCGAGTGAAACAAGGAGGATGAGGGAGGTAATGCAGAAACTATAGGGACAGGAGGATCATGGACGTATGTCTGATGTTTGTCAGGAGTCATGAGTCCTGTACAGCTATCTTCATGCTGCATGGATAGGTAGTAGGGGTGAAGAGAGACCTTGGGAACGAGGTCATTGGTGTCGCAGCCATTGCAATGTGGGATGAGTCGAAGCATGCGGTTTCACTGGTCAGATGCATTTCTCATCCATGCAATAATGTACATATATGGTGACCCCGATTGATCCGTAGCACATCCCAGGATAGGTCGCACGGATATCCGAATATAGCTGATAGCTGTATAGCTGCATAGCTGTCTTGAATATTTGCAAGGAATGCAGCCACTAAAAGAGATGTCTGTGCATAGTTACTGCAATATTATTCGTTGTATGCAGAATCGAAACAGACTCGGGCAAGGGAAGAAAGTATCTCGACAGTACCTTAGGGAGTTAGTTGGTTTCAGCCTGCATGCAAATTAAAATATTTTGGTGATGGTTTCGACTCACCTGCCTATAATCTGAGTCTATTCCTATCAGTACCCATAGAACGTTACTGCTCTAAAATGAGCATCGACTAACCTCGAGGGTGCTTTGGCCTCAGTCTACTGCAACCGCCGCTGGGCACTAGAGCAGCATGTAAGCTCCCCACTACTGCCTCACCCGCAGCACGGTCTGTTCTGGCCATCCATCGATGCTGCTGTAGTGGGGCCTCGCTGGTAGCCGACCAAATTGTATCCTCTGATTGCGCAGGCTTCTGTTGGTAGTGAGTAAAGGTTTGTAGGTAAGGGTATCTATGTCCTTTTTTTTTTTTTTTTTTTTTTTTAGACCGGTGTGGCTTGTGGCTTTCTCCAGGTACAGCATCTGTGCTACAGGTAGGTTTGTATACAGCATACAATTTCTCCTCTCCTCGTGTTGGCATCTAGTCGTCGCCAATGTCAGCTGGTGGGGAGCAATATCAATTCGTTCCCGCTGATGCAGATCTATGCATACATTCTCCCATGTTGCTGGGGCCTTCTTCACCATCACGAAGCTCCGCTGTCATGCTCGAGCATTGCGCGAACCAGGTAGAGGAGGCGAAGGCGCAAGCTTGGCTGTCAATAGAGACAACGATTGGAGCATACTGAAACAGAGCGTTGCTGTTTAGGAACGCCAAAAGATTTGAGATCAGACTGATTTGACGAAAAAAAGTATCTCCTCGGGATACACTGCGTACCCGTGTTTTGCAACCTTTCACTTTAGCTTGAATACCGCTGGCGCGTTAATGAACCACAAGTTTCCTAGAGCGCACAGAAATTGTCTTATCATGGTGAAGTCGTATGCAAATGGTGATCCTCTAGAACAGAATTTTTCCCCATGGGGTCACTCAATTGACGCCTGGAGAACATGCGCATCAGTCTCCAACATCTGCACTTGCTGACTCGCTCGTAGCCTCGTAGTTGCTACGAAGACAGTTGGGCGGGACTGGCCATCATGCCATGATAAAGCCCCTCCTTTGCGGTTATCAGTGCTTGCCGGTGGAGCTTCCTACCTTCCAGGCCTATCAGAGAAGCGGCACAGAATCCACCGATTTCGGAAAGCTGTCATTAAGCTATCGACATATTTTCCCCAAGGCTCCACAAAAGTGCTGACCGGGGACAAGATCGGGGTAGTCCTCCGTCGAGTGAGAGCACAGACTACAGCAACGCACCGCAGTCACTGAGTTTGAGCTTCTGGAGAAGGCGAGCTCGGTGTAAGCACGTCCACTTCGGTGCGCCGAGAGGGGAGGGCAAAAAACTCAGATAAGGTCCAAAGACAAAATCTGTGACCGGCTGCAGATTTGAGCCCTTGCACGCCGCATTTGGATAAAGCGTAGAGTAATGGAGGAGAGAATGTGAGTTGCACTGCCTTCAGAGGAACCCAGACATGCAGACTGCAGAGCAGAAGCATACCGCCTCCACCGAAGCGTTCCACCTTGGCATTGGTGCAAAGTCAAAGAGAAATCTGGAGACATGAGTTTTGCGCAGTGTCCGTGCTGTGCGAAGCGAAAGTATCCGAGCTCGGAAGACAGATCCAGAGCTTACGATGGGATGTCAACCGATTATTAGTCAGGATGAGTGGAATTCGACGAGGAGCACAGACGGCCCGAACATAGTTGTAGTGTCAAGAGGGTATCAGTCGTAGTCTAGATACCTGGGCGATGTGGAAGGAGGCCCACTGAAGAAAGTGGTGGAGTGGAGCCACAGAGGGTCAAACACAACTATCGGACGGCGTCACGCCGAGTACCCGCTCGGGCGTCCAACAACGGGTCCCCTCAAGATGGCGAACATGAATGTAGATAATGCGACTGAAGAATGTCCAAGATAACCAATCAGTGCTTCAACATGGCTGAGCCGAAACTTTCCACGATCGGGAGGTACCTCCAATGGTCTAACAGGGGTCTCATACAACCAGTGTCCATGGTCTTCTTGGGAGGGGTCAAATACTGCATCTAGACTCTTAGCTTATTCGCACGGTAAAAGGTATCCGCTATGTCTGGAGTCAAGAGTCAAGGAGTAGATCATTGTGTGATCCAGGAATGAGAACGTGCAGTTCGATGTGGGCTCCGAATTTTCTCCTTGCGCCAACAGCAGAAGCGTACAGTTACAAACATTTTTGAGTTGTACTGTGGGAACCATGGGTCTGATTGATAGCACAAAGGCCTATCAGTTCATCATTAACTTCAATCACTCACAAAGTTCAATAACGCGAGGGAGGGCAAGAGTTTTCGCCTGCAGTAGAGTAGCGGTAGGGAAGAGGTCCTTGCGGAGAGGACTGATCGCGGAAATCAGTAGCCAAGACCACCGCAGCTCAACAAAATGATCTTTTTCAAGCAAGGTAAGCTCTTCCGATTGATATAGGGTAGTACTTAGTATCAAAGGTTCTGACTAAAGCTTTGCTGTTGATAACTATATGATATTAGTCTTTGATCTGATAGGCGAAGTTGTCGGGAAAGAATGCCACTGTGGCGAATAAAACTCTGCTGCGCTAAGCAGGCAAGCAGAGCGTGTATATACTACCTTACAGATATTGTCTCCTGATAAGAAGTGGAAGAGTTGCCATTGTAAGTGAAACAAGCGCCAACGAGCAGTGCGCTGATCTCCCAACGCGAAGCATTATTAAATATAGATACAGAAATTAGATTAATATCCATGATCATTAGAGGCGCCCGAGGAGACATGTATGAAATATCAAGGACTTGCGGAGTGAGTACTCCGTACTCACCAACAAATAAGAAACTCAAAGCTCATAGACCACACCATCGCAACAGGAGATGGTTGTTCATTCCGACAAGTCGGCGATGATGTCGCTGAGTACTACATAGCAGTTGCAGTGGAAGGATCAAAATATATCCAAAAACGACCCCAAATACTTCTCGCACTTAAATATTCTATCGATTAACTAGCAAGATTATGTCATTTAGCAGACAGCAAGTTTGATCAACACATTTCGTGTTGGTATTATGCTTGTATACTTATCACTCAGATAGACCTTCCAACAAGGTAAAAGCTGTAACCAAAATCGATGGATGAGGTGATGGAGTTTCCAAGCTTCACAAGCGAACAACCCAGAACCCTGTCAATGGCCTGGCCAATAGCCAAGGAAGAGCTGCAGCCACAATGTCCGTGCAGGCTGGTGTACATGCACGAGAAACGTCCAATGAAACAACGTACCACCCCAGCTAGAAAAAGTCAAACCGCCAAGGTATTGACCTTTTAGAAAACTCCTGTCAATAAGTGGGGGGAACAAGGAAGTCTTGGAAGTTTGGACCAGGGTCTTGACGTCAGACAAAGACAATTTCCAAGGAAAATCTGGTTGGCATTTTTCCCCCTCAACGCTGGTCCAATATGTACACCTCTAGACGTCTCTTCACTACGATATTTCCATTCATTATTAATCAAAGTCATTATGTTGCCGTCATTAATATTGTTGGCATTTACGATCCTTTGAAATTAGCACTCTTTGTAGCGTACATGGTGTGGACAATAGCACAATCCTTCGTCGTGACTCGTGAGCTCT